CTGTTTTTTAAAGAAAACATTCCATATAAATAGGAGGTCTTAATTTAAATTTATAAGTTACTGTTAACCATGCATTGAAGCCACATTTGTTCTCTGTGAGCTCTGAAGGACCCCTCTAGCTGCCCTGTTTTGTGCCAGCTGAAGCTTGTGAAGCTCTCCTGACTATAGTCATCATTTCTCCATATTGTTAGCCCGATTCTTTAGTTGGAAACCTGAGAATAAACTAGAGTCGATCAAGAGTAAAAAGTTGACATTTATTGGGTCACAGGTAAAGTATTTCAGCGCGGGGCTCTTCACAGAGGAAACCCCTCAAAAGGAGGCCTGGACACAACCAAGTCCTATTGGTTAGTTACCTCTAAGACTAACAAGCCGGATTGTAAATTCATGTTGATGACATTGGAATGTGGTACCAAATGATGTGTGTGTGTGTGTGTTGACTTAAAGACGTGGATCTAATGCAACAGAGAAAGAAAAGAGAGAAAGAAAAGAGAGAGCAAAGAGAATCTGTGGTTACAGCCAGAGACTTCATATAGTTATAAAAGAAATAAAACAATTAGAAATCTACATAGATCGTGTGATAGCATACTATGCTAAAGTGTGTATTTATAACCAAATCCTAACAATATTCAGGATAAAAAATGTGTGTTTATGTTTGCGTTTGACAGGCGTCTCCGAATGATTCACTCTGAGGAGTTGGAGGTTGTGGTTGAGGGCTTTTCTCTCCGCTCCTCCATGTGCCAACGTCAGTTTTTAGGGCGTCTCGCCTGGTTGGGATCCTGTCAGTAACAGATATCTCTCCTCTGCCCTCGTTTCCTCTCCTCCTCCCTCCCGCTTTCATCTCTCCGTCTCAGCCTCTGAAGACGTGACTTGGCTCATTTCGGAAAAATTCCTGCTCCTGCTGTTTTCGGAGCCACGCATTGTGTTTTTCTACAGGTGCTTAAAGGTTTTTTTTCTATTCTCCTCTCGTCATGGCTCCTTTTATTTTCAACGCTCACCCTGGTTTCACTGCCACCAAACAGATATGTCCTTATCCAATAAAATGTCACCACACAAGATGAACAAGGACAAAAAACTCGGAGTATATCGGGCTTCCTATCAGCCATTTTGCTTGGGACTGAGGCACCAAAACACACACAGTCTTTCGCTTTTGTGGAAAAAAATCAGTACATTTTGAAATAATCAGAAATCAACTGTTGTTTTTGTTTGACTGAAAGCTAAAAAAACAAACAATGACAGTGAACTTTAGTGTTGGAAATCTCTTATGAACGTTTTCGTACGTCCTGTAAAAAACGCTCGGCAACATTTCGGGGTGAGAAACAATTTACAAATTCCAACATTTCATCTAATCTTTTCCACCAACACGTCTAATGACATCAGTCTACAGTTCGGACAAACATCTCGGGCTTTGACAGCTGCTGTTTTGTGGAAAAGAGCAAAGACGACGACGGGAAAGAGCCAAACTCTTAGCCGAATGCTAATGTGTTGACATGTGAGGCCTTGTTGACAAAAGCCTTCATCGTTCTTCACTGTGAAGTCCTGCTACGGCCGGTTAGTTTCAGCTATTTTCTTTTTTTCTTTCTTTTTTTTAAAGATTTTTTTAAAGATTTTTTTTTTTAATGTATAAAATATCAAGGTTACATGTATTCTTAGTTGCATGGTTCTACTTTTGATTGCTTATATTCAACATTTGCAACTAAAGTTACATTTGTGTCTCGCTTTAAAAGAGAAACTTGGTGAAAATGCCAAGAAACCCCAGTTATGACAAGATTCATTTGATCTGGCACTTAAAAGTTTGAGCAATTTTTCTAAATATGCAGTGCACATTGGAGAGGGTGTTCCTCCCGAAAACCAACAAAGTCTGAGCTCTAAACTTCTAGGTAAATTCACAGAAATGGTCCTGTGATCTGTAATGTGTCAAAATCTGTCAATCAATCCATCGAGGGGTTCTTCCCTGTTGTGAAAAGGTTTCCAGAAGTGGGTAGTATCCAAAATAAATACACTGAGTGGATTTTTGTGGTTTAAAGCAAAGTTCAAATCCAGTAAGTTACTGGTTTGACTGGACAGTTTGATGTTCTGAACAAAGCGGAGCGGTTGTGCAATCGTTGTTATTAATAGTCTAGCTAGGACATGTCAGTATCATAGTAGGAGTGCCTTGGTTTAAAGCTTTTTTCTTTCCTTGTGCAGTAAGTTTTCTCAGTTGTCTCAATAGACACACTTCCAGAAATTAATTTAGTGTTTTTTCTTCATCTATAATATTGGAAAACTTGCCTTAAACAGCTATTTGCAATAACTAACACAGCTGGTAAATAGAACTGAGCCTTTACTTCCATGGAAGCAACATGCCCTAAAATGACATCAATCCAATGAAAAGACAATAATGTTGTAAGCCAACAAAAATGTATGTAAACTTTAGACCATCATGATTCACAGAGGTCAATTATATTAAAAAAGTAACTTGCTCAGTATAGAATTGTGGAGAAAGTGTGTTTTCGTATTAATTCATACTGGGTAACAGATTATTTTCGGAGAACATTTTTATAAAACTGGTTGCTGCTTTGACAAAAAATAATAAACAAACAAAAACACTTCCATGTGCATCATCCAGCAGAACAAGTGACGCGTGAAGATGTCAGAAATAACTCAACGACTGGGATAACACAGTCATGGCTGAATTAACACCGAAGGTCATGCACTCCCATCGAAAGTGTCAAAATATTTGATTGAGTGAGTGCATGCAGAGACTTAAGCAAGCATTCACTTAGTCACATTTATCTGATTGAAAACCTCCTATGTAAGGAAATGTTTCACAATAGATTGAGTCATGGTGATATATCATATCATACTTTAGTTCAAAGACCTTATGAGGAAAATAATGTGACAAGGTAAAGTAAATCAATGTAAAATATACATTTTCATACCAACTAAGAAACCCTAACTACAATAGTTTTTTACATTACATTACATTTAATTCCATTTTTACATGTGTAAAAAGGAGAAAGATGTGTGAATAAAAAATAGGGATAATATGGCAATTTTTTTTACACAAGACCTTTAATTCCTCCTTAGTTCCAGTATAAACCAGGAAGACATAGTTGACTAATATATAAAGATCATGCTTAAATTCATAATATGTATAGGTTTATCTATCTTATTTACAAATTTCTACCCACAATATTCATCACAACAGCTCCATCTAGTGTCCATCGAGTTGAACATTTGCTTTAAAGCAGCCCGTCTTTCTTTTAAAGTGATTGGCTGACATGGTTAGTCTGCTTGTGACGTATTACTCCCCTATTGGCTTCTCCACCTGCCACTCAAATTAGTTTCCGGAAGCAAAGCCATTCACTTCAAAGATGGAGGACGATATCTCAGATTTTAGCAGACCTCAAATGTACTTGTTTGGTGAGCTGGCTTGTTCAGACAAACATTACGTTAAAGTGTCGCACAATCAGTTTTATCAACATACATATTTATCCGTTAAACTATTTTAGAAGCTCGGAATTAGCTAAAAAGCGGGCTAGTCTGTGGGCTCAAACTGGCGCCAATTCAGCTCTTTTGTTAGCTAGGTTTGCATGGCTTTCAAAGACGGTCCCGTATCAAAGCTTATTCTCTTTACATGTAATTGTTTTGTTAGTGCAAATAGATATGCAGTATTAGTCACACGTTGTGTTCTCACGCAGGTTGTACCTTGAAATCGGATAAACGGGAGTTCAGAGTTGACATAGACGACGACGATGCAGAGCAACAGCTGTCACTCAAAGCAGTAAGAAACTGGTTTTCTACTCATTTAGGGACGAATGGGGACTAGTTTCTGCAAACCAGCGTGATGGATAAGCCCGTTTCATATCGTAACACCAAAAGAGGCTCATATATGAGGATGCGTTGTGGTTATATGTTTATATTGTGTGTTTTTTTTGTTTGACTTAGCTTAAGTTCACAACAGCGACGGGCTCTAATAAAGTATTTTATTATCTTACTGTCAAAAACAGAGCTTAGATTTAAAGGCATGGTCCAGTGGTTTCTGGCAGCATCTTCCTGGTCCTACAAGTGTGATGTGAGGCCTCCATAGGCCTCCACAAGGCAAACAGCATATCCGGATATAACTGTTTATTACTGTCACACAGCAGGCTGAACACAGTAACTCAGTTTTTGGAGCTAAAGCGAGAAAGAAAGCTGACATAAAAGCAAAAAAAAAGAAGAAAAAAGAAGCCAAATGTATGATTGAGACATAGACTTAGACTCAACTTTATTTATCCCTTGGGATTACTCCTTCCAGCAGCTTATGTAGAGGTCAAAGGGCAGAGTTAAAGCAAGATGCCATTAAAGATAAACAATACAAAAGACAATATTAAAAAGAGTCAATCTGGTACAGTAAAAGTTGTTATGTCCTGGAATATGTTCCCTTTAGATATAAAATATCTGCACAGTAAAGAGCTAAGTAAAGACTACAAAGTGTAACGCATTGTGTAAATGATTAAGACGATGGAATCACATGTGTTGATTTAGAGAAATGCTGGAATACAATAAAGTCAAATTTATAACTAGCTGTTTAATGCCATTTCCTCCACTTAAAAACATCGGACACATTATTCACACCAATCTGTGGTTCGCTGTAAGTGCTGAATGGCATGCTATTAAAGGTTAAAAAATTCTAAAAACAATGCTAAAATTAAAGGTTTGTAGTTGTCCAGTGATTTAATTTAATGTTTGAAGCATTTGATCAAATTAACACAAGGTAGCGAACAAGTATGTGTCACTTTGTAAAAACTATTGCAGGAAAAAATGGCAAATATATTGCTTATATTTAAGGGAGAGAAGTAGACAGTCTCTGCTTTAGGTTGCATAAACATTATTTGTGTTGTCTATTATCTCGGAAGGTTTCCAACATAGTTTTTCAGTTATGATAAATTACATTAAGTGGCTCGACTATTGTGAGTGTAAGAAGTTTAAGCTTATACAGATATGAACACAAAAAGGTTCAATACACATTATATAAGCTGTTTACTTGTGTTAGGCTTTTTCTCTTGATGCTTCTATTCGGGGTTGGTTGATTTAAAACGAGTTAACTTCACATCTGTGCTGCTTTTCCAGGTTTGCTTGGGAGCTGAGGCTGAGGACAAATTCCACATGGTGGAAGTTGAAGGGCTAACTTATGATGCAAAAACCACCAAAGTGCCGCTAGTTGTCCTGAAACCTTCTGTCCTGCCCTCTGTGAGTCCACACCCAACTCAGACAGTATTTTTCCAACTATTTAAGAAGCTTAAATGACAATATTTCACATGGATTGTGCTTTTAAAAAAAGGATTAATTCAAAATTTTGTCTTTTTTATAATAATTTTGTGACAGTCCTGTTGATTTCTGTTGTTTTTTGTGTGTTTTTTTTTAAATAATTTTTATTTTTAAACGTTTTCACAGTATCATACATATATAACACAAACATAAACATATACAGGAAGCATGCCAATATTCACAAGACAAGGTTTTAACTACAGAAACGTATCGCTCATACAAAATCTGACCGTAAAGGTTTTATGTACTCCATTAGTCCATTTAGTCCAGATTTAGTAAAACACGTCCTTTTGCATCCTGAGGGAAAAAGACAACTTTTCCATAACATATATTTCGTATATTATATTAATCCAGTCCTCAATAGTTGGAGATTCCACTTCTTTTTACTCACAATAAGTAACATACCATGTAATCTTTTATGTGTTATTCCAATTTGTCCCAGGAACATCACCAGAATACAGTGTTTCACATTTAAAGGGAATTTTAGTACCACATACATTATTAAAGTCTTCACATATCTGTGTCCAATAGTTAAATATGATTTCTGTTTTATCACAGACTATTTTTCCAACTATTTAGGACACTTAAATGAAAGTATTTTACATGGATTGTGCCTTATTAAATCAAAATGTAGTCTTTTTGATAATAAAAAGATGAAAACAGTCCTTTTTATTTGATCATTTCTGTTGTTTTATCATCCAGATGAACTTAGGTGGGTTTGAAATCACTCCTCCGGTTACCTTTCGTCTCCTTTCTGGCTCCGGACCCGTTCACATCAGTGGGCAACATTTTGTCAGTGAGTATCGAGTCTCTTAGGAATCAGTGGAGGAAGGTTTTTATTTTTTTAAATTTTGATTATCTATTTATTTATTTATTCATTAATTCATTCATTCATTCATTCATTCATTCATTCATTCATTCATTCATTCATTTATTTATTTGAATTGAATATACTTTATACTTTATTGACCTCCAGTGAGAAATTGACTATTTATTTATTTATTTATTTATTTATTTATTTATTTATTTATTTATTTATTTATTTATTTATTTATTTAATTTTTTTTAATTATTTTTTTTAATCGTCACCAAATACTTTAAAGCCAAAACCAATGGGAAGGAAAACATTTTAAGCCTTTCACTCATTCACAAAGATGGAAAATATTTCAATTTGATTCCATTTTTGGGCAGAAATATGAGGTAAAAATCAGTTAAATGTGCCACTTTTAATGCTAATGTGCTAATTTGCTAACTAATTTGTAGGTATGAAAGACTCGGACGATGAGGAAGAGGAGCACAACTCATCACCGGTGAAGCAGCCTGCAAACCTGTCGTTAGGGAAGAAGCCTCCATTTGTAGGTTTCTAACTTTGTGGTTCAGATAATGAGCTACTAAGACCTTATAGGACTCATTCCTGAAGCTAATAATATATATCTTTTATTTGCAGAAAAAACTAAAGATGGAGTCAGATGATGACGAAGATGATGATGATGATGACGAAGAGGAGAGCGATGACGACGATGATGATGAGTACGACATTTTTTCTTAAAGTGATAGTTGTCCTTTCATAAAAGAAACAAAAAAACTGACAGTTTTATTAAAGTCCGATCCGTGTTTTCCAGATTAAAATAATCCATTACTAATACTGAGTTAATAGACTCTTTTCTATTCAGTTTGTCTGTTTTGCCTTTTTAATACAGTTTACAATATTATTTGCACTTTTTACTGTTCACTGATACACTTTCCATTTGTTATTTATAATTTTTTTCTATTTTGTGTTTATCCCTGAATAAACAGGTCAGTGTCTCTTTGTGTATTATTCAAACTCGCCTAATTCAGCTAGTTGTTATCAGAATAAATCCCTGTTCAACATGAGCCTGACAACTAATAAGTAAATAAATAACTTTAAACTTTAACACATGCTCTGATAGGTTGGGATCGGTATTAAAAAGCTGGATCGGGACATCTCTAGTGTGGGAAAATCCAGAGCTTTGACAGGACAAAATGAGGACATGATGCTCTTCTTGTTTAGTAGTTTTCATCTGACATTTTCATCCCTCAAAGCAAAGTTCTGAGCTCTTTTTCCTTTATCTCTCCCAGTGATGATGAAAGTGATGAAGATGATGTGAAGCCGCAGAAGAGCGTTGGAAAAGTGCTCCAAAAAGTAAGTCTGTGCTTTCTTATTTTTTTCTCCTACACTGGGAAATTTAAGGGGAAAAGACAAAAAAAACCCACATACATCAGAATATAAACAAACACGTAGATCTGATCATTTGAACTTCTCGCTGCGTTTGCAGAAGTTTGAAACCTGTTCACAAAAACGTTGCTGTGAAAAGGAATGATTTGGAAATCAGTCTGACCCCAAGTTTAATTGAAAGCTGTTCAAGCGTTAAATCAAAATTACAAATAATCTTTAAACAATTAGCAGCACGCCCTCCATTATTGGATTAACGGGATAGCAGCATGAGTTCACATGTTGAGCCGGCTAATGCTAATGCTAACGCTAAAGCACATTCAGATACACCGAGAAGGTTAAATTACGATAAAAAGAAATCCAACTCTTACAGAGAAAAATCTTTTTGCTTCAATCCTTTTGAAAGTAGACAGTTTTTAACCACAGAAGAGCTTTTACTCTTATGTGAAATAACAATTTTCAGGCTGTCATCCTAGCTTTAATTACCTTTAGATTTAATATTTGTTGGATTAAAAATACTGCCTTAAACTCATGCGTTCTAGTGTTTTTTTCATTTAGTTTGATAAAGACAGTGGAAACATGTTTAAAGTGTTCAGTGTCAGATCAATTAAACATCATAGGCACCACATTTTTAAACTAAAGAAAGTTTTCTAAATGTGCTTTTTCCAGTAATTTCTTTATTTATCTTGGGGTTCCCGAGCAAGGACTGATTAGCTTTAAAAAAAAAAGTCGGATGTTGTTTGATTAAATCAATTACACATCATAGGCAACACATTTTTAAATAAAAAACGTTTTATACATTTTCTTTTTCCAGTAATTTCTTTGTTTATCTTGAGGTTCCCGAGCAAGGAATGATTAGCTTTAAAAAAAAAAAAGTGTAATGTTGTTTGATAAAACAGAATCTTAGTTGGAAATGTTTATGATCAGTGCATTTAGTTCTTGTTCCCAGTTCTTAATTACAGTGGGGAAATAAGTATTTGACCCCTTGCTGATTTTGCAGGTTTGCACACTTACAAAGAATGCTTATTTTTCCTCATCAGATGGTTATCAATTTTTATAAATTCATATGATGTGATTTTTTGGAATTTTCTTTGGGATTCTGTCTTTCACTGTTAGAACGTACATATGATTAAAGTTATAGATCGTTGCATTCTTTGTAAGTGGGCAAACCTGCAAAATCAGCAAGGGGTCAAATACTTATTTCCCCCACTGTAAAACTTCACCAACACCTCAGTTATTCCAGTTTTTGCTGGTTTGGAGTGTTACCAGGCCTGTCTTGTCCACTAGATGTCAGGGCAGTCAGTGGCTTCCCTTTAACTTATTTAATCGTAGAAGGAATTTCTTCGTTTTGTGTCTCTCTCCACTCCTTCCTGTGTCTACCACATCGTTCAGAAATCTTTCTTTAACAGGCCCGACCCATTCCTGCACCCACTGACCGTCCACTGCTTTGTACGAGACAAAACATGGAACTTTTTCATCCTGTTTGCTCATGTACCCACCTGTTTTCGGAGAGTAAAATACAGGGTTTGCGCGGTGTAATGATCGGATTTCTCCTCTGTAATCTGCTTGAATTCTCACCGTCTCACCAGCAGGACCAGGTTATTCTGCACACACAAACTTTAAAGGCACACACTGTACGCTTTTGAATCTAAAACCTGTTGGTCCCTGTTAGGGAAATCAATATATCACTATTGTCATAGTGATGAGAAATGTAATATTGTGTCTACTCTGTAAGTCGCTTTGGATAAAAGCGTCTGCCAAATGCATAAACATAAACATAAACATAAACAATATATGCATAATCACTTTCTTAATTTCTCTATTGTAACTTTCCACAATTGAAGGTTTTAAAGGTTCTTTCCTCCTTCGAGGTCTCAGAGAAACCAGGTCCCCTTATATTTTGTCTAACAATCTTTTGTCTGGAGGATTGTTTAATACAGATGGACAGACTTTACGTCTTATTTCAGACTCAGAGGGTAGAAAATGCTCTCACTTCATGAAGTTTTCCCTTTTAATACATTTCTATTTCTTACTTCCTCAGATGGACTCAGACTTTTGCTTCAAAATAAAATTCCCACAACAGGGCAAAGACAATCTTAATATAAAAATGGTAAAAAAAATCAGCAGTCTAATTTGATTCAAAGCTCTTTCAGACATCCTTCCACCAATTTCCAACAGTCACCGTGCACGTTTGCATGAATTTCGACAGTTTGGCTGCATTTTGGGGAGAGTTTTCACGATACTAAAATTTCAACTTGATACCGATAGTCAGGAAAATATTCGATACCACAAGGATAAAAACAAAGACCCCAAAATTTAACTGAATTTTGACAGGTTAGTGTCTTTGGTTTCAAACTGACCTGTTACTGATGTTATGGTGGCCCACATTAATGACCCTAACCCTAACCCTAACCCTGACACTAACCCTAACCCTAACCCTGACCCTTCATAATTGTGAGAAATACATATTTTTTGGGTTAAACTTGTTTGGACTTATTGTACAAACCTATTTAACATCCACTATTTTAACAAAATATTATGTATAGAGTTTCTTTTCACTATTTTTTTAAATGAATGTCTATATTGCCATGAAGCAATTACCATTTTCTTGCCTGGGATCTTCCTAATGGTGACCTAATCAAAATGGCCGACTTGGATGTGGGCGGAGTTAGATATGTACTTGATTAATGTTGGCGTGTTATTATTAGCTATTAGCCGCAGCTAGCAATTCAAGGCTAACGTCATGTTAATGATCATAAACAACGTAAATAAATAAATCAGAGAAAAAGGGAAATTTTTGGAGTATTGACACATTTAATTACGGGTTAATTTCTGGTGTTTTTAAGGGAGACACACTCATTACTTTCCCTTCAGTTATAGGAAACATCTTTAACCATTTTCCCGCAAGTCTGCATATCTTTTTGGGTTAAACTTGTTTGGACTTATTGTACAAACCTATTTAACATCCACTATTTTAACATAATCTGCAGCCAGACGGACTTGATTAATGTTGTTAATAATGTTGTTATTAACCCTTAGCTATTATTGGCTGTTTTTAGCCATTAGACGCAGCTAGCAATTCAAGGCTAACGTCATGCTAATGATCATAAACAACGTAAATAAATAAATATATAAATAAATCAGAGAGAAGGGGCACTTTTTTGAGTCTTGACACTTTTAATTACGGGTTAATTTCTGGTGTTTGTAAGGGAGACACACTCATTACTTTCCCTTCAGTTATAGGAAACATCTTCAACCATTTTCCCGCAGCGCTACATATCTTTTTGGGTTAAACTTGTTTGGACTTATTGTACAAACCTATTTAACATCCAGTATTTTAACAAAATATTATGTATAGAGTTTAATTCACTGTTTCTTTTCACTATTTTTAAATGAATGTCTAAATTGCCATGAAGCAATTACCATTTTCTTGCCTGGGATCTTCCTATTGGTGGAAGGCCGACTTGGATGTGGGCGGAGTTAGATATGTACTTGATTAATGTTGGCGTGTTATTATTAGCTATTAGCCGCAGCTAGCAATTCAAGGCTAACGTCATGCTAATGATCATAAACAACCTAAATAAATGGATAAATCGGAGAGAAAGGGCACTTTTTTGAACCTTGACACTTTTAATTACGGGTTAATTTCTGGTGTTTTTAAGGGAGACACACTCATTACTTTCCCTTCAGTTATAGGAAACATCTTCAACCATTTTCCCGCAGCGCTGCATTTCTTTTTGGGTTAAACTTGTTTGGACTTATTGTACAAACCTATTTAACATCCACTATTTTAACAAAATATTATGTATAGAGTTTAATTCACTGTTTCTTTTCACTATTTTTAAATGAATGTCTATATTGCCATGAAGCAATTACCATTTTCTTGCCTGGCATCTTCCTATTGGTGACCTAATCAAAATGGCCGACTTGGATGTGGGCGGAGTTAGATATGTACTTGATTAATGTTGGCGTGTTATTATTAGCTATTAGCTGCAGCTAGCAATTCAAGGCTAACGTCACGCTAATGATCATAAACAACGTAAACAAATAGATAAATAAATCTGAGAGAAGAGGTAGTTTTTTTGCGTATGGACACTTTTGATTACGGGTTAATTTCTGGTGTTTGTAAGGGAGACTCACTCATTACTTTCCCTTCAGTTATAGCAAACATCT